TTTCATTATTCGTGTGACTTTCACTTCACCAACTGATGTGACTTGGGTTTTAATTCTTTCAAAGGTTTTTATCAAGATATCAGAATTGTTATTTTGTTAAGAAGAAGAAGGTAGTGTTATCTGTGTAATTGTATAAATTATAATGATTTACAAACTAAAAAAAAATGACATTTATAAATAGATTGAAGAATGAAGGACACAGATAAAAGCCCTGAGGTACCCCTTAAATTAGTGATTTAGAATAATCTCTAGTTTTGATACTTTTTATTTCTATTTGTCGTATAATTATTTACTAATATAAGAGCTGTATAACTGACAAATCGTAAAGTTTGCTTTGTATTATAAGTATTGTGTGGGATAAGCAGATAGATGCCTTTGAGAGCGAGAGAGATCAACGTGGTGAACCAGTCAGAAAATAATCTTGATCTAAGACATGTTTCCTATCTTCATTTCTTTCTCGGGTCGTGCGAGCTCTACTCCTGGCCTGATATGAAAATAGAGAAAATAAGAATCCCTAAAGAAAGCCTAACACAGCATCCCTAAAGAAAGCCTTTGGCATTTGATTGAAGATATTGGAAATCTGTAAATGGAGTAAATATATTCTGCAACAATCAGAAATTCCCGTGGGTCTTTATCAGAGAGTCTTAAATCAGGATTCTACTTTTATGGTTAATCTATATCTCATATATATCACCTGACCGAAAATTCAAATTTATGAAGATTATTTAACATGTATGTGTTACATATCATTGCTTGTTAACCGAATTATCCCATGTCACCATGACCTGTGATGATAATCGGTAATAAAGATTTTTTTTACATTTATTTTATTGGTTACGGTTCAATTGGTTATAAAGATCCAGCTTTCTGTATTCTAAGCGGTCGAAGGTGAAGCCAATTGAGTAAATGTTTTTGAAATACAATTACCGCAAGCAACAACGAGTGCCTTCTTACAATAAAGTTGCGTATCTGTCAGTGAGTAAAGGGAAGAAAACGGAGACAAGCTGAAGTCTTTTGAATACGTGTGATTGACTGAGAGACACCATAATGCGATGAGGTCTGAAGTGCTCCGTACTTTTTTTCTCCCTATATCATACCGCACTTAATGAAAACAAACTAGTAAGAGCACGTTTGTCACTTTTCTTGACTAAAGAGTCGTAACGACCGGTAACAGGCGGACAGTAACGAAACTTGCCGAGGTTATACAAACTAGAATAAATTGATTGCCTAATTGAAGCAGAAATATGCATAAATAATCAGTCGCATACTTTGCTATTAAATTTCACAAAATGTGTCTGAACCTTGTCGAAAAATACTTGAACAGTCCTGATTTTTGGGACGATTGCATATGTCGCAGGAAGCTTTCATGATTTAAAGGGGCGTGAGTATTGTTCAAAATGTAGATTGAAAATGAACGGCATGTTAAATTCTAGGTATGTCTGTTTTACTTTTCGGACAGAAAAATATGGATCAGTGGTTCTTTTGGTGAAGATTAAGATGATTTTTTTTGTACTTATTTTGTTATCTGAAATCTCAATCGACCAGATTATAGTTTAATGCTGTTATGACATTTTCAGAAATAAAAAAATGAGGACAAATATCGAACGATTTGGAGCAAAAGTAATTAAACAAAATATAGGTCGCGCGGCGGTGTACCACTTTTAATTATGCCATGCTTCAACATAGGAAAGGTAAAACGTTTTGCCCAACCCTTTCCTATGCATATTTTAATCTAGTTGAAGATATACGCGCATTGGGGTTTATTCGTTTTCATATATTTCAAAATAGAATAAGTAATAAACAGTGCATCGGAAACGAGACTCTCTGGTTTATACGAGATTGCGTAGCCCCCGAGTATAAATCCGATTGTCCGACCATCTGTATATTATGAGTATTATATATATATGTATCATACTTTTGTGGACCTTTCTGTTGAAAATGTACATGTGTCAAAGTCAAATCATACACATATATATGCACATTGCGTTAACTGGAGTGCAGGTAACAAAACACCTGTACTCACCTTAACGCACTTTGCATATAATATGTCTATACGATTTAACTGAACATTTTTTCGATGATAAGGTCTCCAAACTGTGATAAACACATAAATGCGCAGTGCGCAATGTCATTTGTTATGAATCACTTTCCAAGGCCCATGACTACTGAATGTTGCTTCAATTGCAGTCTTTTTCAAACATTGGGATTTCTGGGCAGTTTTGCGTACAAGACCATGCAGTATCTGGTTCAAAATAAAAAGGACGTGCCATTTGTTGCATACGTGTACGTTGTTTTCAAACGCACTTCTCTTTGACAGAGTTATAGCCCTTTGAGATCATTGAAACAAATTATCTCGTTTCCATGAATAAATTTGTTGCTATTGGTTATAACTGCATCTGTTTATAAAGTTTTTTTTCATTTCATTTTACTCATTTTTTGTTGAAAGCGTTCAATGTTCGATATGTACGATTTATCGCATTATAAGGTTTAAACTGAAAAAGGTCAACAACCACTAAAACATAGTTTATTGTATCCCTTCAGAAAATTTAAGCCCGACGTGTACGTGTTTTATCTTAGATCTCGAATATATACATTTTTATTACTTTATCGTCATTTTTTGCGGATAAGTACACGTTATGTTTTGCTGATAATGTTAAAAAGTTATTAAATGTTTCTTTCAGTAAGCCAAATATCTAAATGTCACATTATGAAAAAAAAAACGATATTTTTATATTTTGACAAACTTATCACAAGTAAAAGATTTTTTTTTGTAAAAAGGTCAATTTAAAAAAGTGTTTACTACTCATTTACTTGTCTGCAGCAAAAAAAAATTGAAAAACAATTTCGTTTACAATCTTGATCTAAAGACTCAATTTTATATTCCTTTTTGCAAGTTAAACGTCAGTGGCGTTATCTTAATTAAAATATTCAAATGAGCAATTTACTAGCAATTTACTAGAGTCTCGTATAAAGGGGAAAGAGTACGTATGGTACAAACACCAAAGAACATCAAATTACCTTAATTACATCACGATTAGTTTGGAAGAAATTATAGTTCTCATATAAAACTTTAATGCATAAATTATATTAAAGGTCCACTAAGCCACCGAATGTAGAAGAAAGATTTATTGTAGTAACGTGCGATACATTTATATACTACACAAACACAGAACAACATGGCCCCATGGACCTATAAATTGTATTTTACCTTCGAGTCGACGAAAAAATTGTCCAAGTGGGCGTGATGACGTAGTATCCTACCATTGAGTACACAAATACAGAAAACAAACCGCCCGGTCCCATGGACCTATAAGTCAGTGTTTATAGAAAAACGTCATAGACAATCGAGTTGATTTAACGTCTAAGAATAAATATATATGAATGGTTTGAACATGTTTAAAACATTACACCTGCCTAGTGTATATAGTTCGTTGTTAAGCTCCTGAATGTTATTATGTCACAGTTCGATTCTGTTACAAGCCGAATACATCCAAAATTGTATGCGCATTAAACTTGTTGTATGTGGTACGCATGTGTTGTATGTGATTAATGCATACGCCTGACTTGGTAATTCACACGCTCACTTAAAATGTGTATGTTGCATTACGATAATAAAACATGCTATTGTCAGTTTTTTTGTTTGTTTTATGTTGTGATTTTTTTTTGCTGTGGTTGTTGTTTTGTTGTTGTTGTTGTTGTTGTTGATGATGATAATAACGTGTTGTTTTTTTTCCTTCCTTTTTTAAAACTGATTCTGTAACTCACAAATTCTTTTATGGTTTTATTTTATATATATGATGCTTAAATGAAAATTTATCAATATTTCAAACTCCAAAAAGCATTATTAGTAAAAAATATTACCGAATTTACATTCTATGTAAATAAAGGGGAGGTAATTAGAAATATCGATAAAGTCTATGAGAAATGAAATGCAGTTATTTCAATGGTTTCAACATTTGCAGTACATATTTAACATATTCTTGGATGTTTGCAAATTGTTTTAGAAGAAAAATTATATACATAATTATATAGAATTTCACATAAGTGTTGTTACATCCTTAATTACAACATATAGGATCGTCAAATATTGATTTCTCAACTTAAGCCGCCTAAAAGAAGATATCAGCAATATATTTAAGCTTATCAGTGTGGTGTTTGGATTCCAACATACTTTATATCTTTCTGAATTGATTCTATCGTTTCTGATTTGGAACACTTTTATGTGTTGTGTTGCCGCTAGCGACAGTAAGACAAAAGGCTAAACGGCGCGTTGTCACATTGTCGTCCTGTAAATAACGAAGCACACCAAAGAACGCGTAGTCGTGCAGCGTGTTGTCGCGATGTCACATTGTCCCTCGGCTCAAATCGAAGGATTGGCTATTTAAATATATGCAAGCCAAGCGACAGAGCAGCACCGCGACAATGCGCCGCACGACAACGCGTCGTTCGGCACGTTTTGCTAGCGACAACGATATAGGTTGTGTAGTCGCTTTTGACTACGCAATGCGCAAAATGTACCAAATTATCCAGCATAAATTTCAGCTAAAGTATTGGTCTTTCTATATTTAAGGCCGAACATAGCACACACGTATACCTTACATTTTTGTTTGTTTAATCGACCTTTCCTCCTTCCCTTCAACCCTTATTGTTTTCTTTCCTTCTATTTCAACCTTACTTCCTTCCCTTCACCCTTTATTTCTTTCTTTCTTTTTACATTCTTTCTTTTTTCTGTCTTTCTTCCTTCGTCCTTCCTTCCTTCTTTCTTTCTTTCTTTCTTTCTTTCTTTCCTTCCTTCTTTCATTCCTTCCTTATTTCATTCATTCATTCATTCATTCATTCAACCAACCAACCAACCAACCAACCAACCAACCAACCAACCAATCAATCAATCAATCAATCAATCAATCAATCAACCAATCAATCATTCATTCATTTACCATTAACTCATTTACTTACTTATTTTGATATTCATTCACAATGTTATTTCTTTTCATTTTCAGTCATGCAGTGTGGTTTTGCATTCCTTGAAGCTGGAGCAGTAAGAAGCAAAAACGTTACCAACATTCTCATCAAAAATGTGTTCGACTCTTGTAAGTATTTTCACCATATCTGAACAAGTCAATCATATGCATAGATCCCTGACCTATCTGATTCTTATTATCAGATTAGTGGATACAATAAGAATTTCACCACACAATATTTGTTAACAAAAAGAGCACAGTCATGTCAATGTTTGTAGGTAGATGTAATTTTATTCAAATGAAGGGTTAGAGTAATGTCGTATATTTCCGAACCCGTACGGTCATTCACCATGGCATTTTCGCTGTGTTTGCGGTACTTTCAGCTATTTAAATAATGATAAATTTATTTACTGCAGGGTAGTATTAGTAATCGTATTTCTGTCAAATATGAATACGGTTTATTGCCCTTAGAGATGGTGGCATCTTTTTAAGTTTGTCTTTTTTAACGACTCTCGGTGAATTGAAGGTTTCATAACATTTTGCCCTCATTCAAAATTGCACTATTTTAGGTATGTGTTAGGTTTCAGGAAGGGGTCTGTTATTCCAGGACATTTTCATGGTGAATTAAGTATATATATTTATTTTTTATATTTATTTTTGCGGTTTGTTGGCTTCTTTGATATTAAATTATATTTTTTTAAACTTTAAAAAAGATCTTTTTCACTCAGAGAGGCCCACTATATAACATTATTTAGTTTGTTTTATTTCTTTTAAGTACACGGGCACTCGGGATTTACCTTCATGTAGATAGTATCATACACCATTAACTTTATGACCTTTACTTTTTTATTTTCAGTTTTATAGACATCTAAAGTAACTTAATGTTCATAAATTACCAACGATTAGTGTTAAGATATTTTAAATGAGCCGTGTCATGACAAAACCAACATAATGGGTTTGCGACCAGCATGGATCCAGACCAGCCTGCGCATCCGCGCAGTCTGGTCAGGATCTATGCTGTTCGCTATCAATTTCTCTACTAAGATATGGATTGTAAGCGAACAGCATGGATTCTGATCAGACTGCGCGGAAGCGCAGGCTGGTCTCGATCCATGCTGGTCGCAAACCCATTATGTTGGTTTTATCGTGACACGGCTCAAATGTTTTCTCTTAAGGTCATCAAACATGAGTTAAAGGGTAATAAATTTGAGGTTTAGCTCGAATATTCAAAGCATAGTTGGGCTGTCCTACTTGCCTAGTCGTCGGCGTCGGCGTAACAATTTTGCTAGGTCATCACGAGCTTTTTCTTGTGCAACTCGTTTCTCATCAAGCAGTCACAATATTTGGTTTCTTACTTGCGGCCCATCCGTTATGGATGTCACTGTCAAATGTCATATTTTGCTAAGAGCTGCTTCAAATTAACAGAAGGTACTCAATTTAATGTAGTGCATGACATTTTAGAGCATACTAAATGTACATTGCCTGATGTGAAATTATTGGTCATTCAAGGAACAAACTGTAAAGAAAGCTGTACTTTGACTTCCATTCGAATTACTTAATCACTATAACAGTACTAAAAAGCAACAGAAGGTCTGGTAAATTGGCCAATAAGTAACTTTTTGAAACTATAACAGAGCACACCAAACAGATTTTGAGACAGAAAAAAAATGTAATATTTCAGTTTCAGTCTCTTTCCAAAAAATAATTTAACCTGTTATCTATCGGTTATTCCGGCTTGTTCTGTATCACAGGACAGAACTTCATCGGAAAGATGTGCTAACAATGTATAAGTGCAGAATAAAGTAAAGATAATGGTCATTTCCCATATAGTAAGTATAAAATATATACTCTTGTCAGAGTTTTGCTTCTTTTATGACCATTCATTTCACATTCAGGGATACTTTTCTCATGTGATTAACATTTAGTTTGCTCTAAAATAGCATGCACTGACTTTAAACTGAATATCTACTGTAGATTTAACTTTCGCTTTTGGCCTTTTATTAAATAATTTATATATCATGCTGTTAAACAAACCCGCAAAAGTTAATCCAACGGAAAAAAAGAAGAAAAAAAATGTCACGCTAAATCAAGCAAGCAGTTTGGTTTTGAGTTTCAAATAATTGTACGACGATGAGGCCTTCGGTCCTTGTCCGGTTTATTATTGATTGCAAACTGTGATGCATGTAAAATGTTCATTTTATGGTGGGAACCGGTGATCGTGAGAATAGGTGGCCGTGAGAATAGCATAATTATTTTTTTTGAAGGCTATATATAATTGTAATACAAGCCTTCTGTCTGACCCATTTTGAATTTCAAGTATTTGAAGTAAAAAAAAAAAACAAGCAAGCTTAAAAAAGTTACGTAAATGAATGAATAGAAACATTTATAGTCTATCTATTCTATGTTCCAGCATTTATGAATATTGTATATGACTCTTATTTGATCTATATTCGTGGTTGCTAATAAGGTACCCAGCGTTTTAATGTGAAAGAAATCCTAGAATTGTTGAAAGCACATTTTGCTTTCGAAACAAGATTTTGATGTCAGATGCTTTTCATTGGAAGAAAATAGCAATGGATAAGAAATTACTTGTTACGAAATTTATAGCAAAAGGAATAAAAAGTGTCATCACTATAATGTAATATTGAAAAAACCTCATCTTGCCTACATGTACTTTAAAAAAAACATATGTCCGCCTGTCTGTCTTATTTTTGTGTTTCAATTGTGCATTGAATAGACTACAAGGAGGCAAACCAGACATTTATTCATTCATTCATTAATTCATTCATTCATTCATTCATTCATTCATCCATTCATTCATTCATTCATTCATATATCCATCCATCCATTCATTCACCCAATCAACCAACCGACCAACCAAACAGACTTCCAAAAGGCAAACCAGACATTCATTCATTCATATATCCTTCCATCCATTTATCCAACAAACCAACCGAACGACCAACCGACCGACCGACAAACCATTCAATAAGACATCGACAAATCAATTATCGACAACCGTATATTAAATAAAGCAGCAAGCTATCCAGTCAACCAACTATAAAACATCCAGTCAAATCTAAGTCAATTCAAAAAAAAATCTTCCATGCTGTTCATTTACTTGACTACTTTTATATAGAAAAATATTCCTTCTCTTTAAATTTCAGTTGTTTCAGGGGTTGCTTATTGGATCATAGGATACGCGTTTGCTTTCGGAGATGGAAACGATTTCATTGGTCATAAGTATTTTGCGTCATATGAACTGCCCGAAACACAGTATGCAGCGTTCTTCTTCCAGTACACTTTTGCTGCCACCGCGGCCACAATTGTGTCTGGAGCTGTGGCAGAGAGATGCGAATTCCTGGCATACTTCGTTTACAGTTTCTTCATCACAGGTTGGTATACTTTGTGTCAAAAAGTCTCAGATTTTTTTTTCATACTTTTTTCTATTCATTTTATTTATTTATTTAAATGATAAACTTTAGAAAAATATAGCTATAAATGCCTATGCTATTGAATGGAAAGCATGCGAACAGTATTTTGTCTTCCAAGTTTCAACGCCGTTGTGTGGCGACGCGTTCAGCGTTAAGCTTTGGTTGGTCGTTTTACTTGTCATTTATTTCACGTGAATAAACGCACGTGAGAAATGACGCAGACTGTGCTCAGGGATTTCAAGAAATCTTCAGACGATAGTACTCTGTCATATGTTAGCATCATTGATGGTTTCAGGACGCAACAAAATTTAACTTAATGAACACAATGATTTTACATCTGAAGGTATCATAAATTCGAAGAAAATAAAGCAACTCAACGAATTCTCGCATATGACTTAAAACATCACGCCTCCAGATTCATGTTTATTTTCATGAAAATTATTGGAAAAGAATTTAAAAGTAAGATATTGTAAGATGAGCAAAGAAATATTTACATATTGCAATCGACACTTACAATCCAAGAAAAATATAAAAAAGTGGTCAATATAATATTATGCCAAAGCAGCCCCTACTTTGTTAGTAACGCAGTAGAAATATGGTGATAAGATACTGCGAAATCAGTCTTAAACCGCACATAACATGTAAAATTTAACATTGATCTTGAATGTTTTACCTTTCTTAAAATGTTAGTATTTTGTTATCAATATTAATTTTCTTGAACTTTTTCGGCTCATCTGAAGGCGTGCAGCTTAAACGGCGACGGTGAAGATGGAAATATTGTAAAAGTTAATGTCAAAAATATAGTATCCCGATCGCTCGTGTCTATATGAAAATGTATAATGAATGAAGAAATTGAACCATCAAAAATCTAGGGGTAAAAAAAACACCATGTCGTGGCCTCGTCATTTAAATAATTCGCGTTGAAGTGGTCATTTAAATAGGTCTATACAAATATTTTGTCTACATAAGGTATGGAATTTTAGTATTTACCTTAGCCGATTAATTACATAGTTCATTGATCTTTAGGATTTTAAGATTTTATATATAGCATTATAATTCTGCATATGTTTTGCTGATTGGACGCCGAAAATGGGGTGTAAAAGTGATATAGACCCTGTAATGTATAAAAATTTTTAAAGAAGCACGCCTCCAGATTCATGTTAATATTCATGAAAATTTTGGAAATGAATTTAAAACTACAATATTGTGAGGTGAGCATATAAAGTAATTTACATAAAATCCTGCTGTCTAAGTTGGAAATTTGCTTTTTTATTTATCTTACTTCTGATCACAAAATATTTGAACGACTAGATAAAAAGTAAAATAAGATCAAAATACATACTTCAAATATCTTAACCGTAATGGTACGTTAGTTTTTGCAATGACGATTTGTTTTTATAAACGCTTACAATTTGATCTAAAAAATTTAAGTTTAAAAAGGTATCGACCCATATATACGACAAGCAATTACAATGTGAAACTGTGACATACTTTCCGTGCGTGTTTTGTCCCGTGGTTGACGCATGCGTACACGCATGGTTATTGTGTTACACCATGTAATTAAGATAGCACAAATACGATGAACGCATGATAGAAAATTCCTCCCATACAACCAAATAGAACCTTAAAAAATAACATTTCAGTTTTGCATTTTTTTATTGAATGCGCTTAAATATACCATGCCCGTGATAATTATAGAAAAGAGTTTTGACAAAAGGTTGCTGTCTTACTCAGTATAGGTTTTGAGTATGTATAGGTAGGACAACAACACCTTACCCCTTCCTGTCCATCATCTACCCCCGCCCCCATAAGTCTTTTTAAAAATTTAAATCGAGACACACTTAATAAAAGTACAAAGATAAACCTTTTTGTACTGCTATTTGAAACATCATAAATATTTACACTTACCCTATATTTAACTGTTGTGCTAATACCCGAAAAAAAGATTTCATCACATGCACTAAAAATAAAAAAATTGCTTGCAATTTTGAATAAAAACCCTGCTTAATCGTAAGAGGCATCTTTTGTAGGTTTAAATCAATTGACTAAATTTCAACCCATTTTTTCCTTTGCTAGGTTATTTAAGCTGCTTTTAATGGGTTTGGGGAATTTAAGGGGGTTTTGCATCTCTTATCGCAACAAAAGATGGTTTTGTTGAAACAATTTTATTTTAAAAATTTATTTGTACATTTTAAATAACAAACATAACAAAAATTTATAGTTTTTTTGGCAGAAAGCAAAAGTTTTATAGAACCATTATCTAACAAAAACAATTTTTAAATTCTGTGTGGTTGAAATTTTAACAAGTTACCAAAAAGTGAACACATTTGATAATGCAAGATTGAAAAGCGAAAATGAAATGTAAATGATAAGGACAACATTTTAGTAAGTTTTGACAAAAATTAAGTAAAAAACTACAGAAAACAACTAAAGAAAAAAACACAAAAAGGAAAATAAACAAATAAAGACAAGGACAAGAAAAGAATATAAGCAGCATAGCATAAGGTGGTTTTGATTCATGACGTTGCTTTAAGTTTGTAACAACCGAGGTTAGCCATAATTATATTTCCTGTTTTGGCGCTTTATGACCTATATTGAGTTAACACGTCATAAAATAAAACAAAACAGCACAAATTCCCACCGTTATTTCGTGTTTTGATTTTGTTGTTTCGAGTTATATTTGTGTCGCTATGGCCCTGACGGGACACCGTACATTCAGGCGACAAAAAGAAAGGAATAAGAAAAAGAAAATTATATAAATTCCATATTTCTTGGACTGTTTTCATCTGTCTATCAAGCCACGATCATCGCATGTGATTATTTTTACTTTATAGATACCATTAAAACCGTTTGGGTATCTTTTCGAACCATAGCAGTGTAGGGGTACAGATTCTCAGTCTTTCAAGCAAGGAAGTTTTATCTATTATTTATTTATATTGTTTCACTTTATCGGGGTTGGGATGTGGTGGGCTAGAGGACTGATATCAATATATTCTATAGTATGTATGTATGTCCAGACTAAATGAGGGTCAATCTGCCTGTTCATGCATTGAGAGTACGAATTCCGAACATGTCACCTACCATTCATGTGCTTAAAATTTATAATATGGCAGAGTGTGACCTATAGATTTTGATTCCAGTGTTTTATTGAATGATATTACAGTCGCTCCACTTATAACGAACTCGCTTATAACGAATGATCGTTAATAACGAACTAATTATATAATCCCCGGCCAATTCCTTCTTTATTTTATATTAAATCACATTGCTTATTACGAACTCGCTTAAAACGAATTTTCGGCTATAGCGAACCAATTTCAAGTCCCAAGCGGCGAAAATCACATACATTTTCTCGTTTAAAACAAACTGTTATAATTGAAATATGTATGTAAAATATCTTCTATAAATTTAATTACAGGCTTTATATACCCCGTGGTGACGCATTGGGTGTGGGGTGGAGGATTCCTCGCCAAAGGCAAAGATTATGGTGGGGATATCGGTCAGATTGCTTATCAGGTAATTGCTTTTCGTGTTTTTCATCTATATTTGAGCCGCGTCACGACAAAACCAACATAATGGGTTTGCGACCAGCATGAATCCAGACCAGCCTGCACATCCGCACAGTCTGATCAGGATCCATGCTGTTCGCTTACAAACTCTATAACAAGTAGAGAAACTGATAGCGAACACTTGGATCCTGATCAGACTGCGCGGATGCGCAGGCTGGTCTGGATCCATGCTGGTCGCAAACCTATTATGTTGGTTTTGTCGTGACGCGGCTCATTTGTATTCGTCCAAGCAGTACTTCACTCATTTCATTATTAGAAAATTAAACAAATTAAACGTACTGCCGATTACAACAACTGGGCCAAATACGCGGATAGTCTAATAGGATGATTGTATTTCTGCTGTAAAGGACATGTCTTACAATATGATATATGCGTGATAGATCTGGCAACTGGAGTGTTAAATTGCTGGGTGTATTTTTTTTCTTTTGTCCCGCTTAAACTTGAATAAGCACTTCTTTGTGATTTAAGTGCACATAACCAAAGCTTTTAGCCATGACCCCGATTCATTTTCTGTGTTCAGATCAAGATTTAGTGTTTGCTCCTGGTCAATGTAATAACGACGCTTATTTAATTCTTTACCAAATCTTCTCTAATTATTACAGTACTTTTATTAGTTTACTATAAGAGAAAGATAACAGGCTTCCTTTACTTATGTTGAAAAGTTATTCTGAACTTTCGGAAAAGTTAACGAATTAATATCTATATCAAACTAACAAATGCACAACCATATCCCACTTAAATCACAAAACCGGTGTCGTTTCCGTTTTAGGATTTTGCCGGAAGTGGAGTCGTGCATTGCTTAGGGGGCACTGCAGCTTTCGTAGGTGCGTTGTTACTAGGTCCCAGGATCGGACGCTTCCACAAGGAAACAAAAACAGTGATACAAATAAGAGGGCATTCAGTACCGGTAAGTCTTAAAGGCACACTTTGCCTCCTGAATGATAGTACTTGCGTTTCTCAAAAGCTTTATATTTTTGGTGTTATCATAAAGGTTCTAAAAAGTTACACATTGGCTCATTACCTGAACTATCTTTTGCTCCTGTTGCTTTTCGGCAATTAGAACATATTTAGTGATTCAGTACTATGTCGTATGGAAATCAAAAGGCTACTTTTCTTTACATTTTGCTATTTTTAAAACAAATAATTTCACATTCAGATAAAGCATCTAACTGCTCTAAACCATTTCTTAAACATTATAAAACTCATGTTTGCCCAATCTACAGCAGGAACATTTTAATCATTTCTGAGGCATAATATGCCTTTAAAAAAAACATTACTTTAGCATACCGGTAGCTTTACATTTTTACTATGTATGTAATGTAAAGATATATATATCAGCATCACCACCATTATCTTTTTTGTTTTTTAGATAATTATCAGAATCCTTTTAATTATATGATCCCAACCGTTATTATTATTCTTATTATAATTAGTATTATTATAATTATTATTATTATTATCATTATTATTAAAACTATTATTATTATTATTTTTATAATTATTATTATTATTATTATCATCATTATTATTATTATCATTATTGTTATTATTACATGTATTATCATTATTATTATTATTATTATTATTATTATTATTATTATTATTATTATCATTATTATTGTTGTTGTTGTTGTTGTTGTTATTTTTTTTTCATTATATTTTTATGAAATGGAGCACATGGAATCAAATTGCACTGAAAATGTACCAACGTAAAAAGCTTCACACCAACTTCATGTACATGTATTTCAAAATGTCTTTTTAAATGGGTGTTTAAATACAGTTACATGTAACCTTGAAGGAATTTTTGTTTAATCATTGTTTTTCAGAAAAAAGAGTAAGGTATTCAGTTCTTTGTAGTACACATGACCGACCAATTAGGACAGTAAAACCAATAAAATGCCATTCAATATGTAACAATGAGAATTCGTATATTTTATATAGTATAAAAAGGTTGTTTTTCTTTTAAGAAAATCAGATTACTTTGTTATGGCAGGTTTCAAATTTCCTTATCCATTAGTTTTTGTTAAAAGTTTACATGTTTATATGATCGAAATGTTTAAACCCGGAGTTCATTAACCTCTAGCTACTTTGGTTAATATGTAAGTTTTTTTCATCTCGTTTATTAAGTTTAAATAGGGGTTTTAAAAGGTTTTGTCATTTAAGGTGACACACGCATCGTAAGATCGCATATGACCGTCACATCCCGTCGGACTTTACTTCCTGCGACCTTTTTTATTTTTAAAAGGCTTATCTGTTGAAGCAGACGACAGAAACCCACATTTTGTCATCTCAAACTTACGGAGAGTGGCTAAGTTTACCGAATCAAAATTCCTTTGAGCCAGTTCTATCCGTAACTTTTCTCGAGCCGTAAGTTTGAATGCACTGCCAGAGCAGTGTTTTAACAATTGAGCAAACAGGACAGCGTGGCCCATGTGTGGTTTTTTTAAGAGACTTCTTGTTCAAAATGTAACGTAGTCTTGTCTCTGATTGTTTTTATAGTTTTAACAGTTTTATATTTAGGTAATATTAGATAAAGGATAATTATAATATGTGTGTTCAATCATTTATTGATAGTCAAACACTTATGCTCAAATTTGATATTAGAAAATATTGATAACTGCTACAAAGCCTCCTTGTAAACATAAAATAAACATGTTTTGACTTCACACAAAGTAGATAAAATTATGTTATGTATAAGGTTATACATATTATAGGTGGTCACAATATGAATATATATTGTTATTAAAAAGAACTGGCATGGTTTGTTTTGTTTTAAACAAAAGGCCAAATTTTCTTGTCCCGTAACAGAAAACGCAGGTTCCCATACATATTTTATTCATTCTTTTATTCAAATCAGACATATTCAGACATAATTTCATAGATTTCAATAAATTTCTGTAGGGTAAAATATTTTATTGAAGAATGAGAATAGTATATCTTAAAACACCTCGCCCATAGTAATAAACAAGGGTTACATTAGTGGATTTATTACGGTCAAACATTATGCAATAAAATCAGACATAGGTTATCATCCCCAACATCCCTGCAAAATATTAATTGTATACACTTATTAGTTTTATTTTATACAATATGTAATGGCACATAATCTTAATTCAGGAAGTCGCTTTTACTAAATATTTACCTCATTATCGTATTTAGAAGTTTTATGTTCATAAATATATTTATAAAATGTAACGCATCATTAAATTCACGTGAAAAACAAATTCATATGACGAAACTGAAAATACTTCATAACAAGAAAAAATATATTTAAGAGAGTAACCCTTTTTTTACTTCAGATTGCCGCTTTGGGTGGTTTCATCCTATTTTTCGGATTTCTTGCTTTCAACGGCGGATCGCAGACGAGTATTTCAAATCCTGGTGACGGGGCCGCCATCAGTTTGTCAGTGGTGAACACAATAATTTCAGCGTCATTTGCCGCCTTCTCTTCCCTCATCATCAACAGATCTCCTTTGTTTGGAAACAGAAGTTGGAGTCTTCTTATCACCATCAACGGGGCCCTCACTGGGATGGTGAGTTTCATAAAATTGAGCTGTTACAATGTTAAATGCATGGTCAACATCAGTTTATATTATACCTCATTTGTTTGCATACGCCCTTCTTTTAACATTCTTATATTTGTAATACATATGGTTTTTGTGTCGCCTTGAAAAAGGCGACATAGAGGGGTTACTGTTTTCGGCGGCGGCGTCGTTGTCGTCGTCGTTGTCGGTGTCGTCGTCGGCGTCGTTGTCGGTGTCGGCGTCCCTTAAAGCTTGTCCGGAGCATAAGTCAGTCATTATAAGTCGGATTGACTTCAAACTTCGTATGCTTCTCATAATGACCCGAAGTGCAGTGCATAAGGACCAGTACTCTGTATTTCTTATTTTTTGAGTTATTGCCCTTTGTTTATTTTCATACTTTATTTTTGTCCGGGCCATTTCTCCTTAAGTATAAAATCTATGGACTTGAAACTTCATTGGACGATAGCTCTCATAAAGAAGAAGTGCAGTGCACAAGAACTGGTACTCTGCATTTCTTATTTTTTGAGTTATTGCCCTTTGTTTATTTTCATACTTTATTTTTGTCCAGGCCATTTCTCCAAAAGTACTTGAAACTTCATAGGATGATAGATCTCATTAAGAAAAAGTGCAGTGCACAAGCACTGGTACTCTGCATTTCTTATTTTTTGAGTTATTGCCCTTTGTTAATTTTCATACTTTATTTTTGTCCAGGCTATTTCTCATAAAGTATAAAAGCTTTAGACTTGAAACTTAATAGGATGATAGATCTTATTGATAAGAAGTGCAGTGCACAGAAACTGCTGATCTGCATTTCTTATTTTTGAGTTATTGCCCTTTGTTAATTTTTATACTTTATTTTTGTCCAGGCCATTTCTCATAAATTATAAAAGCTTTAGACTTGAAACTTAATAGGATGATAGATTTTATTGATAAGAAGTGCAGTGCGCAGAAACTCCAGATCTGCATTTCTTATTTTTTGAGTTATTGCCCTTTATTGATTTTCAAATTTCATTTTTGTCTTTGCCATTTCTCTTAAACTATATTTTTCACAAGGCGACACACCCGACTTGCAGAGTTCTAGTTTTTACAAGAAATGAAAAAAACCCGTTAATTTTGTTATTTTTATTCTGTTTTATTACATAGATGGCTTAACATTAAATAAACTTATGTTTGCGAATAACAAAAAAAAACTTTTCATTTTGATTCAATAAGATCAAAAATACTAAAAATGATAATGCATAGGAAGTTAAAAAAAAACTTTCACCTATTTACATGAATGATCATAGTTTCAATCAAAACATGTTTTGAATGGGATATTTAACCCCCTTTTTTATTTATTTTGACCCCACAGTTTAAGAGCAGACGGAAATTTAGATATCTGCCTATTTGCGCTTCTTCCCTCCGCCCTGCCCCGGGGATGGGACCCTGGGATTACAATTGGCTGATGCAGAGAAATGACCAGTTAGTTAGAAATGGTTTTGATTTAGTGAGGATCTTTAACTCAAGTTTGACCGTATTTTTATTGTGTGACTGATTTTATTTTCAAATTAAATGCATGGATAAATTTAGTTTCAACATTAAAAGCTTTTGATGGCGTATATATGATTCGTGCATCACTTAATATTGACGTAAATTTTGCCTGGGCCAGATCAGATAATTTTAGTGTAAAAAGTATTTTAGACAAATAAAAATTATAGAACATTAGACATATTATAAATGGTTAAAATATAAGCTCGTATATGTAAGATCTGATATTATCATCTTAAGTGATTTATCTAAAATACTGATCGTCCTCCTCAATTGAAAGTACAAATGTAATAGCTTGGTAGGTTTTATGAAAAAAAAAGTCAGGATGTCACTTTGTTGACATAAACTTACATATTAACTAAAACTTTTTACTTATTAAATTTAGTTTTAATTTATTTCATTACATACACACACACATAGACACACACAAATCATACATATACATGTCTTCACAATAAACTAAAGGGCAACATTATCTCGGAGCCCTCTCCTGTAAGCGCGTCGCCTGTAAGCGGCTTACATCAATTAAAAAGATTTAAGTTTTATATTTAAGTAAATATAAATTTTTGCTTAATGAAACTAGAGTAAACATCTTGCAATTGTTATGTTGTTAGATCTAGGAAAGTTTTATGGATATTTTACTATTCCAACATGCCAGCCGGATAAAATACTCATTAAAGTGGATTGACCTAATTCAAAAAATGATAATACAATAGAAAAGTATCGTTTAGATGTTACTCAACAAAATGGACTCTAATATGAATGCAAAGCATCAATATAAACAGTATTAACTCTTGACAACTTAAATCTTTTTTCTACCTGATTCCCCCTTAAGAGTATTTTCAATGCACATCAACAAATAACACAGAAAATACCTTTTCATTTTCATTCACATTTTTCGGACGAAGTCCGTCTGTTATCAGTTTGACTTCCTGTGAAATTAACAGGGAAGAACTGAATATAAGAAGAATTTTCTTTGGTCATTTTAAATTAAAAACTGAAATCTGTGAGTCTAATTGGTCATTCTGAAATAAAAAGTTAAGGCCAGTTCTAACCATTCTAAAAACATGTGAACGGTAGTTCTTACCATTTTAAAATAGAACTTTAAGATATACTATGCTCAGAGTTAATTTTTCAAAATATTAATAAGTGCTACACAGTCTTTTTCTATGTATGAAATAAACATGTTTCGACTTCATTTAAAGTAAATTTGTTATGTTTTGAACTCTAAACACAATTGGTGGTCACAATATGAATATATAGTGTCATTAAAAAAAATGGCAGTTTTTTTTAAAGAAAAGACCACCTTTACTCGACTTGTAATAGGGAATGCAGCTTTGTAACACCGCAAAACGTCCGTACCGAAAAACGTACGTATATGAACGTTTTGCGGCGCATATCGTCCACATTTTTCTGACGTACTTTTTGCGGCAAATAGGCATGGTCCTGCCGCAAAATGTCCATATTTTAAAGTTTATATAATTTTCGTTAATTTTGACCAGTTATTATCAGGTGTTATTGAGTGTTAATTTTAGTTCACCTGTCTGTCTGTCCGTCCAAATTTAGCTTGTAACAACTCTAGCATCCACATACCCTAAGCAATATGTCTAGAGTTATCTGCCCTTGAATTACAATATCTGGTCTATTTCACATTGTTACCACTCCAACGCTTTCATTTCTTCTTCAATATTGACAATTTTCAACAGAATATCTATGACCATAAAAATCTCATCAAAGTTAGATTATAGGCTAAATCTAACGAAAAAAAAAAAAAACAACAAAAAACGCACTTTATTTCACCTTGCTTTCGTTTCTTCTCCATTCTTATTTTTTTATACAGAATATGTATAACAATAAGTCTCGATCAAGTTTATTTATGAGCTAAAATGACTGAATATGTCAAGAGTTATTTGCCTTTGAATAAAAAAAATAAAGACATAATTTAAAGTCAAATTATTGAATTGTGATAAAACTGCTATTTCTTTGTTATCATGATCAGATGTCATTCATACACTTATGACAGGACGGACATCTTGAATAATTCAACTATAATATTGACATTGAAATGACCTTGACCTCAAGGTCACTATTGAATTTTGCTTAAATTACCACATCTTTGTCATTTACATATATTTGGATATTGATGACCATTTCAGACGTAGAATTGGGTACTGATATCAGTTACCCAGATTCTGACCAAGTACATGAAATGTACTTGCTTTTAATTTGTAAAATTCAATGTTATCTACCCTTGTCATGTGGAGCCTTTATAGGCAGGTGGGCGATATAAAGCCACCATGACCTTTTGCTTTGTTCAAATATAAAATTACATTGTTCAATTATAAAATTACATTATGGCATTCAAACAAAACGAGTTGCACTCTTGCTCAAATATGACTAGGCGGCTAAAGCCCCTCCCCCATCACAACAATAGCTCGCTCACTCAGATATGACAAGGCGGCTAAAATCACCCTGCCTCAACAAAAGCAAGCTCTCTCTCTCTCTCTCTCTCTCTCTCTCTCTCTCTCTCTCTCTCTCTCTCTCAAATATGACCTGGCGGCTAAAAGCAACCTCATCCCCACCTCCGCCCCCCCCCCCCCCGCGACAAAAGCTATCTTGCTCAATTATGACTAGGCGACTTAAAGGTCCCATCTCCATGACAATATAGCTCTCTCGCTCAAATATGACTACGCTGTCAAAAGCCCTCATTCATCCCCCGTTAAATGAACGATAGAACCAAACCTCCATAGTCAACAAGAACACAAAAAGTCATTACCACTTCTTGATGCAATTATATGAAAAGCTTTTGTACAAGGCAAAGCTTAATTTTAATATTTTTGTCATTCACTTAGTCCAATCTCCGGTTCGTCCGTCCGTATAGCCGTCCTTTTCTGTATGTCTATAAGATTACATTTATTTCAATATCATCGTTTTTATATCTCTGGTGCTGCTGCTTGGTTTCATTTCATAAAAAAATCTATTCGAAAAACATCCTCGGCTTAAGCATATTTCTTTTTCTTTTTTAAAAATAAAAAAAAGTCAGAATTATATAGGATCACAAAAATATGGCACTTGGAAGTTTATTTCTTCATATCTTTACCTGAAACAATATGAAAGTGACAGAACCAATAAAAGTAACGTTTATAATGAATATATTTTAATACAGAAAAAATGGACGATATGCGGCGCAAAGGCACACTCTCGCCGCAAAACGTACCAAGTACAATATGCACCGCAAAACGTCCACATGTGTACGATATGAGCCGCAAAACGTCCACACGCGTACGTTTTGCGGTACGGACGTTTTGCGGTGTTACACAGCTTCCCATATTTATATAGTTTATTCATTATTTTATTCAAATTCAACATATTCAGTAAGAATTTCATGGATTTCAATACATTTCTAAGATAAAAATATTTTACCCAAAGATGAGCATAGTATATCTTTAAGGATAACTTTATGATAAAATGTAAGGGATAGTTTTGTCACTATAAAATAAAATGTACAGGAATGAGGATAGTTCTTTAGCACAAATATTATGTTAATTTGTAAATGATAAAAAAAATCCATAAAGTCAAACGGGAAACAAGTAAAAAGGACACCTTATATAAAAGTTGTTCTTCTTTGAAAAATCATCAATATCGGTATGCTTTAATATAATTTCAATGTTTATAAAATGGTCTATTTTCTTAATAGCTACAAGAAATAATCATGTCATTGTTATGCAAGCAATGCTAGCATTTCTTTTTGTATAGAAAACTTAAAAATAACATAATTTTGCATGTTAAACAGTTATACTTCGGCCGTGGATCTTTTAAAAAGATACTTCTTGTTTTTTCTGCACTAAAAACCTCAACAAACCGAATAAGATCATAACTTAGAATTTCATATCATCAAACGTTTGGAATGTTAACACGAATATGATTGACATTTTGATAATTAAAAACGTAAATTACTTGTGAATGAGCATTTCAAAAGAATGTTATACAAATATATGAATATTAAGTAAATATTTGTAGACGTTTATTTATGCAAGAATGCAACCATTCGTTTCAAAATAACATTTTTTTGTCATATTGTGAAACAAGACTGGATAAGATCATTTTTGTACTAAAAAGGTAAAATTTGATGTATAATTTGACACAAACATTACTCACACTTCCAGGTTGCTGCCTGCGCAGGATGTAACGTCATGTACACATACGGCGCATGTGCAATAGGTTGCATTTCCGGTATATCCTTCCATTTGTGGTCATGGATTGTGAGGTCTTTAAAGATTGATGACCCTCTTGATGCTGTTGCTGGTAAGGTTCTGGCCGGAAATTGATTATTGTTACTATTAATTAATATGCCAACAAAACGAAAGTATTGGCCATCTTTTTAGTGAAAGAATGAATACAAATTTTTTTAACATTTTACAAACATGATAAGGTATAAAAGAAATAAATCTACCTTAACGTGTCTGCACTTTCTGATAAGAAACCAAAAGGCAAATATAGTTGATTTAGAAATTTAACCATTAATAAAGGGAAGTAACAACAGCTACTGATAAATGAATACTGTAACAATTATTCCCCTTTTTTAAAACTTTTTTCAGTACATTTTGGTGGCGGGTCGTGGGGAGTTATTGCCCTTGCTTTTTTCCATAAAGAGGATGGAATATTTTACAATTGGGACAAGCGTTCGGGAATGGTCAGTATTAATTTAAAATTGTAATATATATGGATAATCTTGTACATGATTCTTTCATTTGTTTGTTAAGTTCTCGGCATTTTTTATGTGATATATTTGTACACGTATGCGATACGCAGCACTCTCTAAGTATGAAAATGACGCAAATAGTCTTTGCGAGAGAAAAAAACAACAAATCATGAAATTTAATACACAAAAGAAATGATTTTAACAATGTTAGCCTGGTTGAAACACACAATCATATCAATTCAAAATGTAAATTAGATTTTAACTGTTTTAATTATATGAGCCGTGTCACGACAAAACCAACATAATGGGTTTGCGACCAGCATGGATCCAGACCAGCCTTCGCATCCGCGCAGTCTGATCAGGATCCATGCTGTTCGCTATCAGTTTCTTTACTTGTAAAAGGGTTGGTAAGCGAACAGCATGGATCCTGATCAGACTGCGCGGATGCGCAGGCTGGTCTGGATCCATGCTGGTCGCAAACGAACTTTGTTGGTTTTGTCGTAACGCGGCTCATATACTGTTGTTAACCATTCTTCAGTTTTTCGCTTGGCAGTTGGCAGGTCTGGCGGCAATCACTGCCTGGGCTGCAGTCATGAGTCTTATTGTGTTTGGAATTCTGCGATTACTTAAGGTTCTGAGGGTACCCGAGGACATAGAACACCGAGGTAAGTATTGTTAATGTGAATAAAAATAATATATTCATGTTTTGTAACTTGTTTTTCAGTTTGTACATATCATTTTCTCTTTTTTAAGATTTCACCCTTAAATTTTGTGTATTGGATGAATCCTGTAATTAAAGGAAAAACTTGTTTTGTCTGTACTTTATATACATTTTTCTCTTCCTTTTTTGATAGTCTTCCCCTTAAATGTGAACTAGCTGAATTGATTGTGAACTGGCTGAATTGAAAAGAAAGTAGTCTGGCGAGACACCAGTGAAAATACGAAAAAATATATATCACTGCTCTGAAAAATAAAATTTAACCGTGAAAAAACGCATTTTATTTCATTAAAAAATTTCATTACTTTACTTATAAGTATATAATAAAAGATCGTAGTAACATTAACAACATGTTGATCAACAAACATCAACAAACAAGATCTTCTTTCTCACTCTCACTCTTGCCAGACTAATATAAAAAATTTCACATTACAGGGTTGGATATACCGAAGCATAATGAGCCGGCTTATCCAGTAGAGGCTTACGGACACGGTCATATCGAAAACATTCTTCAGATCTTTGACAAGAGCGGACCAGTTAAAGTTACACAAGGTATGCAAATGTCTTCATCATTAGTCATATCTCTAGTCTAAGAACTAGTCTTTCAAAATTCCAGAGGTAGTCGTTGTTGAGGGATTTTCCCTTTGGACAAAAAAAACATGTAATACAGTATGATTGTTAAATTGTACATTAAAAAGGTGTTCTTCTAATACAGGTCATATCACTAATTTCTCAGAATAGAAAGTTGTTTTCAATTCTTTTTATACGTTCTTTTATTTTACCTTGTTTCTATTACACAAAACTTGGCTAGAAAATTACATAAAACTTGAATAGATATTACACAAAATTTGACTAGAAATTTCACAAAACATGAGTGGTAATTACAAAAAAAAATTGACTAGAAATTACAAAAAACTTGACTTGAAATTAAACAAAACTTGACTAGAAAATTACATGAAATTTGACTAGAAAATACATAACTATTGACTAGAAATTAACACAAAAATTGAGTAGAAATTACACAAAATTTGACTTGAAGTTAACTTAAAACTTGACTAGAAATAAACATAAAACTTGACTAGCAATTACACAAAACTTGAATAAAAATTACACAAAACATGACTAGCAATTACACAAAACTTAACTAGCAATTACACAAAACTTGAATAGAAATTACACAAAACTTGACTAGCAATTATACAAAACTTGAATAGAAATTACACAAAACTTGAGTAGCAATTACACAAAACTTGAATAGAAATTACACAAAACTTGAGTAGCAATTACACAAAACTTGAATAGAAATTACATAAAACTTGACTAGAAAAGAGCATAAACCTGTTTAAGTAAGAGGGGAAAGAAGTTTGTGCTCAAATAAGTTTAAACATGACAAGATTTTTAAAACTGGTAAAAGAGTTTTTTTCAACTTTTTGTATGTGATTCCAGATATATTTTTTCATGTTTATTAATATATCAAACTTGATGTTACGAAGCTTTGAAACCACAGGTTAAGTTTGTTCATTGTGTAGCAAATAATCTGGTACACAGACTTTTTTCTTTTTTTTCTTCTTTCTATTAAAATAAGTTGATTTTATCTTTCAGCTTTCGAGAAAATGAATGGTACGTATGTTAAAATTAATTTTTGGAAAGGAAATATCTAGCCAAAACTCAGAAATACAAGTGACAAAACAGTATAAACATAAGTTAAAACAGAATTGTTAACGGACTTATTTTCAAACTTTAATTGTATAGAATACCAGTTAATTAAATTTCGCCACGAGTTTTATGTGCGTACATGTACATCTTCAAGACTGTCCGTACATTTTAAATGATATATGACTAAGAGTAAGTTATAAATCGCCAAGTACACATTAAAACGAAAAAAGTATCATTTCAGAAATTAATAAACGGAATACGATAATTTATGCTTACCACATCGTAAATGGACGTGTCCATCTTTTATAAATGACTTAAGAACGTAATCAATTCTTAGGAATCTTTGAGCCGTGTCACGACAAAACCAACATAATGGGTTTGCGACAAGCATGGATCAAGACCAGCCTGCGCATCCGCGCAGTCTGATCCGGATCCATGCTGTTCGCTATCAGTTTCTCTACATTTTATAGGGTTTATAAGCGAACAGCATGGATCCTGATCAGACTGCGCGGATGCGCAGGCTGGTCTGGATCCATGCTGGTCGCAAACCCTTTATGTTGGTTTTGTCATGACGCGGCTCATTTCAATTAAGCGAACATTGCAGACAATGACCAGACTGCCTAGAAGTGACGGCTGATCTTGGTCTGCACTGGTCGCATGGGCGCAATTTGTTGCAGCTAACAGACAAAGATTTCAAACTATAATTAACCACTGAATAAATTTCAGGTAACGTAAATTCTGGATACGAAGAGGTGGCAGATCAAGGTCCATATGAAAGCCCGGAAGTTAAAAGGCAAATTCATCAACTGGAGCAAAATGGAGGAGCACCTTCCGCAAATTACGTACCCGAGAGGGCACATGTACAAGAAAGACGTGTGCCTGTTCAACCGGCTCAACCTATGCAAATCCAGGAACCTGTTTACTTTCAAGAGCCTGTCCCTCGGGGTTATGTCCAACAGCCTAGATACTACAGCGGTAATCAGCAACCATACTATGTGGTCCAGCCTATACCGCGGGAATCATTTAGATATCATTAGGTGATCAATGACCATCGTTGTAACAATTGTCTACACTGATATTTTATATATTACATATCTTTTCAGAACAAAAATATCAGAAAATTGATATCAGAAGCTACATTGTTTTGGAATAGAAACACAATGCGAATAATGATTTTGAAAATTTATTATTTCTCCACAACTTGTTTTTTTACATTTTTGATATATAGTTTATCCATATCTGTAAGATGTATCCTATACTCATGTAATAAAGTTACGTAACATGTTTCATTGCGTTATTGTTTAAAATACATTTGTTTCCTTCATTCAATTTTCTCTTCTTTTTTTTTGGTCCGGCCAGTCTATGATATCTCTTTGTCATATATATCTTATCATATAAGCATTAAATTTGTAATCTTTAGTCACCCACCTCCAGAAGGCCATATGTACAATACCGAGTACTTAACTGTTATTTAATAGGAACTCCACTGAGGTCTAAAGCCTAAAATCATAAAATTTGAATTTTCTACATAGATCAACTGTGATATTTAAAACAGAAAGATATGCTATAGATGTCTAAGTAACATACTCAGAATGAATTGAAATCGTATTTTAGTGTTATTTTAGCCCGATTTGAGTGAAAAACGTTGTCACGCTTTTCAATCTGAGATCATTTTTTACAAAAAAGAAAAAAATATTCTGGACAACAGAGTGCCTGAAAACTCTGAAATGCTGCGCACAAGTTTCCCCAGGTGCATAATATAAATCTCATTCCTATCAAAAATTTGTATACGGTTTTGCCATTTTCTAGCATATATCATATATTGTACAGAAACAGAAGGGAAATTTTCACTTCCAGTCAAATCTTAAAAATACTAGAACGATGACACCGTGTCCAATCGTTCAGTATAGATAAATATTTCTGGGACGTTTTAAGGGAGGTAAATACCACATAAGAACATGTTCAATATGTACACACAAGCTGATTTTTTCATGAGTTTTCATCTTTTTGCAAACCAAACAGGATTCCTTTTTAAAAGATCAGTTTGTCATAGGTATCTCGTTCAACGTTCAAGTTTCCAATTATTCGTTCCAAATGTCAAACTCAAACCATAAGACAGGGATCTGTCATTGGACCCCTTATATTATCGTTTTTTATTGCTGACCTACAAAGCACTGTCAAGTCAAATTGCCGTCTTTTTGCGAGTGGTTATTAGCTCTACCATTACAGGAAGGCTTAGATAATCTTGCTTAATGAGAACAGAAATGGAAGAATGCCTTTCTCAAGCATATTACTTGCCGCTTTAAGAGATCTTAAACAACAATTCTTTTATCTCTTAACTGTCAACCAAGGTGCATGTGCTTATTGAAGGATTGAAATCATTTTTGTTCTCTCCTGATCAGCAAAGACAATAACAGTAACATTAAGGGGAGCGGTAGCCTAGTGGTTAATGTGTCTGCCTCTCCATTTAGAGATCATGCGTTCGAGCCCTATTGGTTCACGACCATGTTTCTTCATAAGACACCAGTACTGGGTGGTTCCTCGGACTCGAAAGTGATTAATATAAGTTGCAAGACATTGTTTCGCAATCGAGCTTAAATAAATATGTTTAAACCAACAGTAACATAAAAAAAGTGTCAGTCAAAAAAAGTGTCATACTTGATTACAAGAAGACATCTTGTAAATCTTTAGTTAGACCTACTTTAGAATATTCTTCCACTGTGTCGAGACCTTATCCTAAGAAAAAAATTGATAAAATTGAGCCATTTTATAACAGTGCTGTCAGGTTTACTTTAGAACAAACTATTATTCTTAATCACCTGCGTCCATGACCAACACCATGCCTTCATTAAAGTGTGTATCCCTACTAAGTAAGCATATAACCAATAAATTGGTACTGTTTTAATCCAGTTACCTCTCTGGCATGGGTTCGATCCCCGGGAGATGCTTTGGTAGTTTGGCGCGGAGGAAGGTAGTCTAGTACTGGTGTGACTCTCCAGGAACGATGGTTAGGAAACTATCCGCCTATATGACTGAAATACTGTTGGGAAAAGGCGTAAAATGAAACAAACAAACAAACAAACAAGATGTAGCATTATGGAACGCCATAGCTGCCTCATGTTGTTATATTTCGTTTTATTTTTCCCTAAAAGCGTCTTATTATGTATAATAGAAGTGTTGGCTTGCCAACATTTTATGGGAACCTGTCTTAACGAAGTCTTATTAGGTCAAATATTCATTTTATCTTGTCAAAACGTAGTGCTGACTTGTCACAACACTGTCTTATTATTTCAAAACGTCATGTTATGTGCAAATCCGGTGTTAACATGCCGAATGGAAGTATTAATATGTCCAACATGCACGCTATCTTTTCGAAGTAACATTTCATTATGTCTGAACAAAGACTTGATTAAATGTGGTGTTGAATTGTCTTGAAATTGTCTAATCATGTGAAACAGTTGTGTTATCTTGTCGGAAGTTGGTGTCATCTTGTCAAGATGTGATCCTGGTATGTTATGACACTGTTGTATTATGTTATACTGTCATTTTGTCTTGTCCAAATGTGATATTGACTTGTCTAAACACCGACACATTTTGTCAGACTGCCATGTCATTGTGTTCAAATTCGGTGCTTGCTTAAAGAATGTCTTATGTCTTTTATGTCAAAATAGCATGCAGTCTTGTCCAACTGTGGTGGTAATTTGTCTATAAATTGTCTTATTATGTGAAACAGTAGTGTTATCTTGTCGGAACTTGGTGTCAACTTGTCAAACTCATGTTTTATTATGTCAGCTACTAGTGATATCTTGTTCAACCGTTATATTGACCTGGCTGAGTGCTGATCTGTTTTGTCAAACTGTTTTGTTGCTTTGTATGAGGTGGTGTTATTCTGTCTTATTGTGCCAAAACATCATGCTGTCTTGTCTAAAACTGTTGTTATCCTGTCTAAAATATACTTATTATGTGAAAAACTAATGTTGACTTGCCAATAAATTGTGTTTGTTTGTGTAAACGTTATTTTATTATGTCAAACAGTATTGTTGACTTGTCGAAAGATGGTATTGACATGTCTAAACACTGCCTTATTTTCTCAGATTGCCATGCTATTTTATCCAAACTTTATGTTAACCCCTAAACACCGTCTTATTATGTGAAATAATGGTGGTATCTTTACCAATTATGGTTATGAACTGTTAAAACGCTATTTCAATTTGTCAAATTGTCATGTCCAAATGCAGATTCAACTTGTCTATATTCGTCTTATTATGTCAAATAGTAATATCATCTTGTCGAAACGTGGTGATGACTTGTCTAAAATTAATATCTTTTTGTCAAAGTGTCATTTTATTTTGTCAAGGTTCGGTGTTATTTTTACTAAACATCGTCCTTTTATGGCGAAGTATCTTTTTTCCTTTTCAAATGTGGTGTTTACTTGTTGAAACACATTATGTAATACAGTATCGTTGACTTGCCAGTTTATGACGTTAACATGTCTAAATGCCGTCTCATTATGTCAGATAATCGTGTTATCCTGTCTCAAAATTTAGTATCACGTGACCAGAGCCCGCGCGGAGCGATAAAAGATAGAGCAAAAAAGATAACGGGACAGTTTAGCAAAATCAGACAGCACTCAAAACAGAACTTAATTTGAAGAAATTTAAACAATAATAAGACATAATAAGACTTTCTTTTTTTACAAGAAAACATCAAATTTCGACAATATAACACTTCTGTTTTACATTATAAGAAAGAGTTTAGACAAGTCATTACCACATTTCGACAAGATACCGCAATTTTTTGACATTATAAGACTGAGTTTTTACGAGTCAAAACTGCTTTTTGACAAAATAGCATACAGTTTATCATAATAAGGCATGATTTAGTCCAGTCAACACCCCATTTCGGCAAGATAATTCGAATATTTGATATAAAAAGACAATTCAGTAGTGTTGGTTGGCAAATTAACACAGTTGTTTGACACAATTAGACCATGTTTAGGCATTTAAACACCGTATTTTGACAAAATAACATGGCAGTTTGATAAAATAAAGCTGTGCTTTTACAAGTCAACACCAAATTTTGACAAGAGAACACTACTGTTTCAAATGACCAGACAGTCTTTTGAAAAAACAGCTCCACAATTTGACCAAATAGCGCGACTAGTTGACATAATATGACACATTTTAGACAAGCCAAAACGACATTTTTGACATGAAAACACTACTGTTTGAAATAATTAAACAATGTTTACACAAGTCAACATCACATTTTAAAGAGATATGACTACTGTTAGGTATAATAAGGCAATGTTTAGACAAGTCGACAAATTACAATGACATTACAACGCTTATATCTGACATAATAAGACGCTTTCTGGGCAAGATAAAAAGATATGTAATAACATGAGACAGCTATGGCGTGCGTTCCATATAGCATTATATATTAATCAACATTTAGAGCTATACACCATCATTATTGTACAATTAACACGTTACAGTAAAACATATTCACTTTTGAGAAATATGAAGATAATGTACTTTAATTCTATATTATGGGTAACCTGGTAAAAAATATTGGGTTCCCCGTGTGCGCACCTTTTTCTTTTCTTTCTTTTTTGTCTCCATTCCAATCTGGCTAGATCAGAATCATGTAAATCTGATGATAATTCGGATTCAAACCGGATTTTACATTTCAAAATACTGTTATCGGTGAACGTTAGACAAATGGTTGATTTTTGTTAGAAAAAAAATGTTTAAAGTAATTTTAACAAATTTACTTGTGATAATAGAGTCAGTTTTTTATGGGCAATATTGTTTTGCCAGTTTACCTGTCGGCTATATGAACAACGCCTTGTTTGTTCTCGAAATCGTGAAAATTACCTACTCAGTATTGGTTTTCCCAGAATTGAAATTAGAAACCGCACCGCTTTTAAAACTATGATTGGCTCTGTGAAAGGTCACTACAAATGATTTTGTATTTGTTCACCGTCAGATCTAAAAGCGGAGCGTTATTTAGAGCTAATTTTAATCAGATTGGTCTCCATTCTGTCATCATGTGGTATTAAATTCACCATTTTGATTGGCTGAGGTCATGCGATGTACAAGTGAAAATGATCACATCTCGTTTATTATATATATCTGACGTGTATTTAAAAAATGCTAGCTTTATGGCAATGCGTTTTTTTCTGAAACTGTGATGAAACTGGAATTAAAAAGCTTTTGGCCTATAAAAAATATTTATTATTATTTAGGCTTTATGGGCCTTTAACTTAATAGATAATTAATTTGTTGTGTTTAAAAAAATGGTAATTATAGTTTTACTTTTAAAAGCTATAGACCGTATCAAATAGATTCGGTTAAATCAAATAATGTACAGATTGTTCCCGCTTTACTGTATATATATTATACAAATGTACATGTATATGCGTATGAAAACTTCATTTAAATGAGCACTTTCAATAGTCCATGCATGACTTGAAACCTATATAATCTTTACAGTGAGTGTGATGTTTCTTTATATAGAAAAAAAGTGCATACTCAGCTCACATAATTTTGCATAACTTTGATTGGTGTTTCTAACTGTAACATTCATGTATTAGTGCGCGTGTACTATTTCATGGATTTCTCATTGACCGCGTAGGTATACAAGTATGAAATGGCGTAAAAAGGTAAAGTAGATATATATTTTTTATTCATTTTTTTATATATTTTTATGGACAGAAAACACTTTTTATAAGATACAGTAGTAAATGTATAAGCATGCATGCATAGTTTGTGTTTGTACGAATTTGTTGATTTTAAGTGTTTATTTCATCTTAAACGAAAATTAGCACCACTAGATCTCGTCTCGAACTCATAATTCTCACGAAATTAAAGTGGATGGAGTTATAGCCCTTGGATAATTAAAACTAAACATTATTGGTCAAAACTTATAACATAATTGATTATAATCCGCGTTTTTGTGTGTTTGTTTGCTAGTTTGTTTGTTTGTTTTCTTTAATTCTTTCCTTTTAATGCTTCATGATAATTTATTTGTATATAAGTTTTTTTGTTTTAAACTTCCTCATTTTTGTCAGTGTTATAAAGCCATTTGTTCTATTTTTTCAGCATTGATACTAAAGAATTATTCATAAGAACGAATCACAATGTTTTAAGACGTACTCGAGCAAAAAAAATTTATCTGAGGCATAGACACTCGTGAAAACTCTCAAAGTGTAAAAACATATAGAATTTTGAAGTTTAAGGTGGTCAAACCTGTGTAGCAAGAGGTGAAGGTCGACAGACGCGTATAGAAAACAAAAGTTTTAAGGTGATCAAACCTGTGTAGCAAGAGGTGAAGGTCGACAGACGCGTATAGAAAGTTGAAGTTTTAAGGTGGTCAAATCTGTTAACAATCCAAGCTTGAGCTTTGAGGTGAAGGTCGACAAAAACATATAGAAAGTTTAAGTTAAAGGTGACCAATCACGTGTTCACGAAGTTTAAAGCTAACGGCTGACATACTTTTGCCGACATAAGATATCTAAAGATGGCGCTGGAAGATGAGATAGATCAGATGTTTCTAGTTCTAATGGGAATGATAGTAATGTGTAAGTTATATTTTCTTCTATTTCCAGGCCTTAAAGGAACTCCACTGAGGTCCAAAAGCCTAAAAATGAATTTCTGACATAAATTAGCAGGATCACTTAAAACAGAAAGATAATTAGAAGATAACTACGAAATTTATCTAAAAATACATTGAAAATTGTATTTTTATTGCTATTATTAATACGATTTGAGCGAAAAGCGCTGCAACGTTATACAATTTTGGGTCATTTTTCACAATTTGAATAGTCATTCTGGGAAAGCGAAGTTAGCAATTTATTCGTTGGAGTCCCTTAAAGGTAAACCAACCATACATTGCTCGTATAGTATTGCCAATGTTCGCCTTTTTAATATAATATCAAATGGCTTTGAAGGCCTCAAATCGTTGTTATTAACCTTTTTATCTATCACTTTTGTTTTTTGTTGCTTTTTCATTTGTTGCTTTTTTGTTTGTTGCTGTTTTGTTTGTTGCTTTTTATATGCCCGAAAGAATTTCGGGCATATTATGTTATACCCCCTGGAGTCCGTCCGTCCATCTGTCTGTCTGTCTGTCTATCCGTCCGTCTGTCCGTCCGTCCGTTAGCAATTTGGTTTCCGGAGAATAACTTAAGTTCCATTTGGCCCACAACATTCAAACTTCATAGGATGATTGCCCATATTGGGTAGAAGACCCCTATTGATTTTGGGGTCACAATGTCAAAGGTCAAGGTCACTATCACCTTAAAACTGAAAACAGTTTCCGGAGCATAACGTAAGTTTCATTTGGCCCACAACATTCAAACTTCTTAGGATGATTGTCCATATTGGGTAGAAGACCCCTATTGACTTTGGGGTAACAAGGTCAAAGGTCAAGGTCACTATTACCTTAAAACTGAAAACAGTTTCCGGAGCATAACTTAAGTTCCATTTGGCCCACAATATTCAAACTTCATAGGATGATTGTCCATATTGGGTAGAAGACCCCTATTGATTTTGTGGTCGCACGGTCAAAGGTCAAGGTCACTATAACTTTAAAACTGAAAACAGTTTCCGGAGCATAACTTAAGGTCTATTTGGCCCACAGTATTCAAACTTCATAGGATGATTGTCCATATCGGGTAGAATACCCCTATTGATTTTGGGGTCACAATGTCAAAGGTCAAGGTCACTATTACTTTAAAACTGAAAACAGTTTCCGGAGCATAACTTAATTTCTTTTTGGCCCACAATATTCAAACTTTATTGGAGGATTGCTATTGGAATGAGGTATTACTTTATTAAATTTATGTAATGTCTTACAAATGCTTCATCCTTAATATAAAAAAAACACTTTCGGGCATATAATACTCCGCCAAGCGGTGCTCTTGTTTGTTTTTTTCTTTTGTTGTCATCTCAGAGTAACGCTAAGTCTATTCAATATAAATTGTGTCTTTCGTTTTTGTAATTCTGACACTTGAGGGTAAAAACATATATGACTGATTTAATCTTACAGCATCTTTTCAAATACGTTAAGTACCTAAATTACATTGGCTTCTGATAGCATCTTAGTTTGTGAAGTTAAATATATTTTCATTTCAACCATGCATTATGATTTTAATACTTGTAATCTTTTTTCTTTCTTTTTTACAAAACTTTGTACTGCTTTTATATGGTGAATAAAAGTAAAGGAATGTAATGAAACAGCTCATATTTTAGATTATTGCTTTTGAAACTTTAAGTCTTAATTCATGCGTCAATTTTTTGGGATATGTTCATGTTTATTATCCATTCCCGTCACCGGTTTATTTTCTTTTTATTATGACACTAAGATATGTAATTTTGATAACAATAAATGCAAATTTTAATCGACGTTGACAGGGAGTTTTGTGTTCGCATAGTCGAACTTTCAATTATAAAAGATGTCAAATGATGAATTCTGAATCTTTTTGCTCTTTCACACTTTCACTAACAGTTCGACTCCTTATTCCATTTGAAGCACTTCAAAGATTTTTTTGTACCTGCTTGAGCTTGAATAACATCTTTACCTCAAACATTATAAAACATATGCAATATTTCCTTTTTAAACACAGGTGCATTATCATTAAAATAATACTCGCTTAAAATTTAATGCTGAATAAAAAACCCATAATGTTACATAAATGTGATATGTTTTTTTCGGTCATAATTTGTCCATTTATAGATAAAGTCGCATGTTTATTAATACAACCTTTCAGACTAAATTTATATTTTGCTCAAATTACCTTAAAAGTATTTGCGTTTTCTTTTCAGTTATGCAATGTGGTTTTGCCTTTTATGAATGTGGTTCAGTTCGCAGTAAAAACACAACCAACATTCTGTTAAAGAATGTCCTAGATTCATGTAAGATATTTTCCAAATATTTTCTGCAACCTCGTCACAACATATTCCCATTTCTTCTGTAAACTATGGAGGCTGAGAAGTGTCAATACCATTTCTTTTTTTACCTTAAAAGTTCAACATCAATAATAATAAGATAATCAGACTAATAGCTTGATTTTGTTTTTCGTATTTTCGTACAAAGCAGATATTTGAGCCGCGTCACGACAAAACCATTATATAGTGCGCTTGCGACCAGCATGGGTCCAGACGCATCCGCGCAGTCTGATTAGGATCCATGCTGTTCGTTATCAGTTTCTCTACTTGTAATAGGGTTGGTAGGCGAACAGCATGGATCCTGATCAGACTGCACGGATGCGCAGGCTGGTCTGGATCCATGCTGGTCGCAAAACCCATTATGTTGGTTTTGTCATGGCACGGCTCATTTCATTAACGAGTTACTCTAATATTTCATAAATGACTTAATCAGACATTTGAGAAGTTAGTGAATCAGATTTTTCATAACCATCCTAATCAGAAATTTTATTAACGTTTCATTCAGCTATTTCATACCCGAGTTATTCAGAAATTTCATAAACGAGTTTAACCGAATCTCATAAACTAGTTTATCAGAAATTTTATAACAGATTTTTTTAATAAATGAGTTTATCATATAATTAATGAATGAGTTACATATATGCTGCACTTTTCCTATGTATTATCACTGAAATATTTTTGTTTTCCCAATAAACAACAACAAAAAATAGAAACTGAACTAATGAAAATTTAAGGTAAGATTTTGAAGTTAAATTATGACAAAATACAAAATGTACCTTTATTTTTGTGACTTATCATTTTTCAGTTATATCTGGCATTGCTTATTGGCTATTTGGGTATGCATTCGCCTATGGAGAAGGTAACGATTTTATTGGCTACTCGAACTTTGCTCTAAAAGGACTCCCGGACACAGGGTATGCTAATTTCTTCTTCCAATATTCGTTCGCTGCCACAACTGCCACCATTGTTTCCGGTTCGGTAGCTGAGAGGTGTGAGTTCTCGGCTTACTTAATCTACAGCTTCTTTATTACAGGTTCGTAACAAGTTTTTTTATGTCTTCGGTACATTCCGCGTTATTCCGTGAAATTTCGTGTTATTCCGTGAAAGTTCACGTGATTCCGTGTATTTTTTTAACACTGTAATACGTAAATTGAATACTTATTTGTCATATCTTTATTAAAAAGTAGTGTGAACTGTGCAATCTAGATATGCAGCTTGTATCTTTAAATTGGTTAAACAAACAAATATTTTTAAACCACTTCAGAACATAAATTGTTGAATGACAACATAAATTGTTATTGTCTTTGTGTATTGAGATTTATGGTTTAATTTATTTTTCGTAAAGAACAAGGATCCTATGCGTAGATTGTGAAGTGTAAAAGACAAAGTCTATTACACGAGAAAAGATAATGTCAATAATTTAAGGTACAGTTAGGCCGATAATTATATATACTATTATATATAAAAGTAGGGCCGACTATTTTACGTGAAAAAAAACCGGTAAAGTCTCTTGCAGGTATCATATACCCAGTAGTCACGCATTGGCAATGGGGTGGTGGATTTCTAGTTAAAGGTATAGATTATGGTGGAGATATTGGCAGACTAGGATACACGGTAAATCAAGATAGTTAATATACCTTTTTTCTTGCATTCACATTCTGCAGAAGCACTTTGGTGCATGTGAAGTCCTATCATGCAGTCCGAGAGCTTTTGCAGATGTTAAAGACGTGAAAGGGTGATTTAAGGCTTGTCTTTTATAAAAGTATGCTATAAAAAAACTGGTTTCGAAATAGCTTTTTGGATGCGCAAGTAAATCAGCCAAAC